CCCCAAAACCCCAAAACCCCAAAACCCCAAAACCCCTAAAAATAACACCGCAATAGAATATTATAAATAAAGCTACTGCCAAACCCCTTCAAACTCCTTAAAATTTAGCCTGATTCTAAAAATCCCAGTCAGCTATAGAAATTTTAGCCTAGCTCAACAGACTCTAGGCAGAGCTTCAGAATGTGTATATATCCATGCTCAGAAGTCCTATAAATTTAGAATATTTTCAGTGTGCTTATCATATAAAAATCTGAAAACTGTAAAAACCTGTCCTTCAAGAATTACTTTCTTCATAAAAACCCTGCAAACCATCTTTTTGAAACCTAGGTCTCGGACAACTCCGAAGAATGCAGTTCAGTCATTGTGAAGAGGAACCGTAAAGCCTAGATATAGCCAACAGTCAAGCAATGATAAGAACCTGTTAGTTCTTAAAGGCAAAGAGTGGGTTTACAGATGGCAGGTGAAGGAAGTGGAAGCAAGATAGCCAACTAATAGTTTTGATACTAGCACATTAGTAGTAATTTTAGGAAACATTCCAGTGATTTCATATAAAAATTAAGCAAATTCTAAAATAGTAGGAACGTTAATGGAGAATAATAAAATAAACCTGAATATTCCTATTTCTTGAAAAACTAGTTGAAAGGCTACACATACCACCCAATATTGCTGGAGTCTAATAATAGTGATTGTGTGATAAGTGCAGCTAAATAGATATTTATTTGTTTAAGACATCTCGATTTCAATTTTAGAGGAATCTATGTTCCTAAGTCATCAAGATAAATTCACTACTATTCTTAGCTAAAAATACCTGTTTTATATACTATATAATACTTCGAATTTGACAGCCCGGTTGTTGGCATTCATAAGTGTATCACCTAATGTTTATACTACTACTTTGAGGACATCTCAAAGCCCTAAAACCTGTAGGAGAGCTGTAAAAATTGAATCTGTTAGTTAAAAATCCATGCGTTATTTTATGAATTTTTTCAATGATCTTCTTTTTCCAAATTAAGGCCTCAGTTAGTTTCCAGTACCTAGGGTTTGGTCTAAATTACTGTTGCCTCCTCAGCAATGAAAATTAGGGAGCTCTTTTTAAAATTCATCCAAATATAGGTACTCATAAACCTGGTTTAATTGTAAGAATAGTGTTTAATGGTTATGTTATTACTATTAATTATACAATCAACGATTGACGCTTTTGCTTCATACGAATCTGTGGTAATTTTGGCTGATGTCTCCTTCTAGAAAGCCCTCTCTCCAGAGAAGTGAACATTTTACCATTGTGATTCACTCACAACTCTCGGGATTTCAGATTTAGCAGATTGGGAGAGCGAAATCCTGTAAACCGGGAATTCCGAGCCATGAAAATTTTCATATCTAATTTACATAGCATCTCATCTCTTTTAGCCATAACTTGAGGCTCTGCAGGAGGAGCTAGGTACATGCTGCTTCTCTCAGAATTAGGACTCTGACACTTCCTGACAACACCCGAGTTGTTTATAAGACGTTTGCCATGTCCTCGTTTCAGATTTTTCATAATAAGTTTTACCTTGCCAAGTTTGGCTGCAAACCTTGACTTGGGGGATACCATCCTGGGCTCAAAGGCAGTAGTGTTCTTATTACACATCTTAATAGCTGCAGAGGAAAGCTGGACCTTCCTTGGCTGACGAGAGGGTGCAGGGGATTTAATGTTCCTGATCCTCAAGCTCATTTTCTTTTCTCTTTGTGTGCTTTGATTCATATAATAAAATATTACAATTCAATAGTATTTCTGAGATTTGGGGTTTTGGGGTTTTGGGGTTTTGGGGTTTTGGGG